GACCCCCCCTGGATACGTGCCTGCATTGGTTAGTAACTTTTAATTTCAATTTTATATCTTACTAGAAAAAATGAAACAAATATCTGGATTTAAAACCATTTTAATGTTACCATGTAAAAGTAGGTACTAAGTAATTATTAGTTGGCATTTAGATGTATAATTAAATAATATTTAATATTTATTATTTATTATTGAACTGTTATGGGTWACTGTAGAACGTACATTTTCTAGGCTAAAATTTATATGTAGTGACCTAAGATCATCATTATCATCTGATTTGCTCAACGAAATCATGATCATAAGAGCAAATGAGATGGGAATAGAAATTTAATATGTATTTTAACTTTTAAATATAATGTTTAGTAATTTTATAAGTAAACAGTCACTACATTACATACTATATACTATACAGACTACTTTGTTCTATTTATTGTTTTGAGTTTATCAAGTATTAAGTTTGAATTTTGATTATGATACAATGTTTTGTGTTTTAATTTTTTTCGTGTTTATCAAACTGTTATAATTAATTTTATATTTTTATATATCTTAAAGAAAAAAATGTATAAGTTCTAAGTACTAGGTACTTATAGGTACTACTTATGTAATTATGTGATATTTTATTTTGTTTTATGCTTTTTCTTACCTAGTCACAACAACATTCTTAAATGGTTTCAAAAATGGTTTGTTATGTTAAATAAAAATAAAATCGACTATTAAAAAAAAAATTAAATTAAAAACCACTTTCAAAATGGTTACCGGTAATCTTGAAGAATTAAAACCGCTTCCAAACCGATAACCGGTAACCACATTTTTGGAGATCATTTTAGTAACCAGTAATCAAGTACCACCAATTCTACCGAAAACCGGTAACCGGTATTGAAAAATTTTCCGGGGCCTCATGGACCCGGTAACCCATTTTCTCGGGAACGGTTTCAAGCCCTGAATTAAATAGGTATAAATTTCCGTCAATAATAATTATTATTATTACGTATATAGTATATTATGAATGTATAATATATACAATAATAACTGAAAAATAGATCAAGTTCCATTAAAATGTCTACAATAACAGTACAAACTTAACTTAGTTACTTGAAATTGAGCACACGCTAAAGACTACATTAACTGCGAAAATAAGATATTATTGTAGTATGATTGCAGCCTGCTGGATGTATTCGTCGTTTTTCCGCTGTCTCRAAGCGAATTGAAGCATATTAATGGATATAATCATCTGCCGAGGATCGGACTACGGAAATTATTTACCTGTTAAATAAGATAGATTAATTTCACATAGAATTGATTAAAAAAMCAATATTTTTCTAAAATGTACTTACGAGAAATGTGAAAAAAAGATGCAGGTTTCTAATCTAACTCTACTATAACAATTTACTCCAGAGGGTTTAGCTTATTTAGTCAACATRTCCATTAGCGCAAATAGAACTTGTACTCAATGCTGAGCATATTATATAATTTTTAGAAAATATTATTGCAGGGGCTTTAGTCCCCCCAAAATAATTTGTCTATTAGCGTCTATGAACATATAACTTTAGTTCAAACTCGCCAGTACAGACGCATTAGAGGTTTTTACTATGTTTATGGACTTATGGTGTTTAAACACGGTTTGCTTGCTATAATGGTAACGAATTAAATAAATGACTTACAATTACAAWATACTTACATATTGAACAGGCGATCAGCTGAGTAGAAAAAGGATAATATTCCAAAAATACGAAAAATAAACAGAGATTTAGTCATTTCATAACTGAATGGCAAATTTATTTAATGAGCGTATAAAGRATAATATTTCATCGAAACTCTTATATAAAATAGCTTTGTATTTTACGCCGAGTGGAAAAAGATAATATTCCACTCATAAAGTCATAAATAAACCTTTTTTGAAATTTTTTGAAATTTGGGTGTTGAGGAATATTATCCTTTTTCCACTCAACTGTTCGATTTACCATCATAAACCAMCCTAAAAGTATAAAATAAGAACATAACTTTAACTATAGGTATACTTATCTTGAATACATATACACAAAAAATGTAAATAATATGCATTGTAAAATCAATTTCATTCATCGCTCCTCTCGGAATCTAGTGTTCTGAATTTTTAAAATTTTGGAATTTGTAAGTTGCAGCTGCCAGTGAGGGATGCCAAAAAAAAAATTCAAAAACGGTCGCCGCGCCCCGTGAATCACGTTTGAACAGGTGTAATAAACTAACAACCCAGAGAATCTTTCGTAATTTCACGCATAGACATATTAATATGTCTATGGTTTCACGCCACCAACTACGAATATAATGCAAAAACAAAGATCGCCATAATTTATGAAATATTGAAATCCCAATAGACACTGTCTGTTCGTGGAATATTGTTACTTTAGCGTTACGTAAAAATACATAACTGAAAACAGTGAAAAGCCAAAACTCCCAAACCGTTTGATGGTTTGTTCTTCCTGTCTGGGAACACTGCGAACACATCATAATAAATTAATAACTAATAATCATGAAAATATTATATTTTAAGTTATACCGCGAACTGTGCGAACTACATYCCACACCAGAGCTGCTGAATACGGCATTACAAAATAAATAAATCTTATTTGGCATACGAGTTCTTACTGTGGTTGTAGTGTTGCCGTGTCGAACTTATCCGACAGCTTGCTGACACTGTCGAGTCCATAGATATCAACTGATAACGCCAGGYGATAACCGGTTAATCCGATTCGTTTCTATTTTGGTATGTACCACGTTCGCAATGTGACTTGTTAAAATTATAATAGGATTTCGTCACGACATTGTTCTATGATACGACGAATAGCAACGAGAACAAAAATAACTCATGCGCATTRAACTTTGCCTAATCTGCTAATCAGTTATCATGATCTAGAATTTTACGTGATGACAAGCCGGAGTGACTATAGTCCACAAGACAATTTGAAAACATAACATCTGCTAACAAACTACAGTGTTTAGATTTTCTATAATTTTGTGGCAGTACCCTCTGGCGTCTACTCTTGAAGTCTTGAGTCTTGACGCCTGACAGTTTGGTAGTGTGGAGCAGTAAATTTAATTTCAATTATTTGGTCCCTTCAGTTGAATTTTCAACAATTTTTCCGTGCCGTATATTTGTATTTTAGACGACATAAATTCGCTGTACGGTCAGTATTCAGAAAATTGTCCGACGAGACCATGATAATCATACTTGCGACTAGTATACGCCGCCTGTGATTAGTAAGTACTTATATCTTACTTGACAACAGATTATATTAACAAGAGAAACCGATCTTAGTAGTTCGTCAAAGTAACAATTTTATTAGTTAATGTTGCATAGAGAGACCAAATATTGTGTCAAATTATGAAAGATAAAATTTCTAGAAACTAGGCAATGATCTATTGATCAATAATAGATAAACAGTGTACAGCTGTTTCATATTTACGTTTTAGAGGTATTTAAAATTAATGCCTATGTCCAGTCCCTAGGAAGYTTAGACATACACTATTAAATTAAGAAGTATAATTAATTTTTAAATATATTTTTTTTTGTATAATATGTGTATATTTTTATTATGCGGAAAAATAATCATACTTTAAATATTGATTAGACCACAGCTGTGACCGGCTACTTAATAGTTTAAATTTTATACAATACATAATAATAATTGTAGATATTGTTTAAAATAATTATTTATTTCATTTTAGTTGTTACTTACATTCATTTATATGTAGTAATAAATCAGTATTATTTTTATGCCTAATTAAAAAATCCTTTTAATATTTCATAATCACTTTTACAAATGATTATCTTTGTTTAACTTGAACGTTGTTTACTATAAAATTGTTTCTTCTCACACTTTAAATTCATTAGTTAAAACCAGTGTGAAATTATCCTCACTGGTGATTAACATCATGGTGAATTTTATCTATCCCAGATTGTGTAAAATAATTTATTCCTTATTTTGCTTCTAATATTTAATAGCTTATCAATGTCAATTTATTGTMTATCAGTTTAATAATAATATAAATTTGTAATAATCATTAATAAATTAAAACAATTTCAATAATTTGTTGGTTGGCATATAAAGAAAAATGTTTTAATTAAATAATTAATACATTTATTTTATAATTTTAAATAAAGTAATAAGTTAAATTCATCCAGTGTAGTTTTTTTATTTTTTAATAGGTACTTGTGTTACAATACCAYAGTTAAAAGTTGTTTTTAAGAATAATTATTATWAATATTAAAACTTATATAATTTAAAGTAATACTATCAATCTTGAACAAGTAAAATTTTATTCAACCAAGTAGTAAGTATGGTAATGCATGATTTTATTCTCAAATTGTACCTTAATAGTATGATACAATTTTTTCAAAACTTTTTAAAGCTTATATCAAATTTATTTATATTATATTATACTAATTAATAATTGTAAAATTTAAGTATTTGAAAATTGTACAGATGACAGATGTACAAGTACAGTTAATATATAAATATTATATTATACATGGATCAGAATATTGTTTGATAAATGCTTGGAATTAAAATATATAAGAATACTTAACATTTTTTTTAAATGGTTTTTTTTTTTTTTGTTACAATAATCTTATAAATAATATTATATTCAACTTATTAATCAGTATAAAAGTTTATCCAAGATCAGATTAAAAAAAAAAAAACAAAAATATACCACTACAATGTCTATGCTTTAATCATAATTTTTTTCTTCTCAATATAATTATTGATGTATAATATTTACATACAATGTAAATTATACCTTTTTTAATTTTTAATAGCTTTTAGTAATTTGTATTTACACACTAGAAGCCTCCCAGTGGAGGTACTATATATATTTAAATTAGTTTGGTTTGTAGGTCACAACACCACTGTGTATGAATTAGGCATTATGTTTGGTATCAAGAAGCTAAGAGATAACAGCAGTGACGACCACGAGGAATTTTGAGAAAACAYCATTATCAGTTTTGGGTATGTGTTTAACATGGAATTGGTTATGAGTGTGTCATTACACCTGTTACATTGGCTACTTTTGTTGGTGTTTATAGTAAAGTTTAGTCAAACTAGATGGTTGACAACTGCGATTTTGGAGCTCCTTATAGACAGTGTAGTTTTTACTGTCTTTACTATAACGTAATTTATACAGAACCAGCCAACGATTCTGGCTACATTTTACACAGTGTAAAGAGTAAGAGCAGTAAGTTCTTATGTGTCCATAAGATTGGCAATTAAGGCATTGCAGGATTTCATGGTGTTTGTATGGTTCTTCCACTTCGACTATTGTGTGTAGGAGTGATTTAATGTTGAAAATGTTTTTGTTGGAAGGGTCATGCTTGAATCATTAAAGAAAATATAGGAAGAAAATATTTTGTTTGATGATGCTCGTTATTTGTGACCTGGTTAAGAATCCAATTTCTTCAGTTGCCGACAAAATATCTGATACTAGAGTTGAGGAATATTTTAGGTTTTGAATTTCATTTTTTTAGTTTGTATATTATGTATGTTTTATTTCTTTAACAATTTATTTCCTTTGCCCATTATAAATTTATGTAGGTTAAATATTGCATAAAATAATCTCATTCCTTAACATAATAATTCAATGAAGTTAAATAAGAATATCTGTTAATTTTTAATTTGTGGATTTTTTTTATTTCAGATAATATAATAATTTACGATGGCTGATAATATGAAAATTAAACTGCCTCCATTATTGCTACAAGCATTTTCTATCAATATTAACAAAGCCAAATGTATGAAATGCAATATTTCATGTGAACCTAAAGAGGAAGATATTCTTTTCCATCTGTCTGTATGTAATGGGACCCTTATTGAAGAAAATATCCAAACAACATTTAAATTCAATTGCCTGATGTGTAATTTTTCAAATGATAGTATTGATCAATGGAAGTGTCATTTGTTCAAACTTGATCATATTTCCAATAATTTTGATTCAAATGAAAAACGATTTTCGTATAATTGCAATTCATGTAATACTCATTTTTATGGTTTTAGAGATAGTATACTAAATCATAATTGCAAACCTCAATTTATTCCATCATTGTCTGATGTAATGGCCTTTGTTTATGCAAAATATGATATTCAGGATAAGCAGACCATGCTTCACTATTGTACAGATTGCTCTTATACCACTTATGATTTAACAAAATTGCACATTGAAGAACATAGCAAAGTTTCCAATATTTCTGTATGCAATTCATGCCTGATAACATTTTATAGTTCTAGCAATGAAGAATTTTTAAACCACAAATTTACATTTGAACATATGATTCTATGGTGCTTAAACGGTGCTCGAAGTGTACCAAAAATTTCATCTGCAACATCTCAAAAATTGCCATACTATATAACAAAATATTTTGTTATTAGTTCGCTGTTAAAAAAATTTTGTTGTATTGTCTGCAATACAAAAAACTCTCTTACATATGAATGTATATATGATCATTTTAACAACTGTATTTCTTCTAAAGAAATTTCTGAAGTTAACAAGTGCATACCGTTGCTTAAAGTAAATTGTAATTTGTGCAATTATTCATGTTTTGCAGTAGATAATAACTTGTACAAATGTTGGGTGGACCATGTTATAAGTTTTAATCATTTAAGTAAAACAGTGGTTGGAAAAAAAGACAAACAGAAATTGTTTTCATATTACTGCTATGTAAGTGAAACTGTATTTTATGGAACAGATTCTTTTATTAAAAATTTAATTATGAAAACAAAWAATGATATTGAACGTCTGCTATTTATACCAGATTTGATGTCTAAAGTGTATAAACGCATCACAAATACACATTTCAGCTGTARTATTTTATTTTGTTGTGGAATTTGTCAAAATCATACAGTCAACCAGTCATTTAACTGTGTGCATAAAAATAATGATTTAAGTCTATCATTTTATTGTTCCACTTGTTTAATAGTATTCAATGTCGAATCTGACTATAACGAACATCTTCTTAGTAGTGAGCATATTATTTTGAAATATTTTAAGTCTAATCAATTAGGTGAGCTTAAAATTCTTGATTATTCCATGGAAACAATGAAGATGTATTTAATTAATTTAAATATAAGTGACGATGATGATGACAACCTTCAGGAGATCTTATGTCAGGAAAATAATGAGATRAATGTATCCACAGAAAACATAACATCCTGTGATCTAGAAGACTATGGTGATGACAAAGATAACCCTGATGAGACCTTATGTCAGGACAATAATGAGATTAATAAATCCACAGAAAACATAAAATCATTTAATCCAGAAGAAAACATTATTAAAAGTTTAATAGAAAAACTATCTGCACAATCAGTAAAATCTGCTTTTAACAATTACCTTAAAAAGAATTTTGATTTATTAATCCAAAAGCCGCTAGCAAATAATGACATTAGTAAAGCAATAGTGTTTGTYTGTGACATTTGTAATTTGGTTCTTAGTAACCATGATGATTGGATAAAACATGACATTAAGTTTCATAGCAAAAATATGGACTTAAGAGTTTTATTCTGTAATATTTGTCGCATTTACCATGTGAGTACTTACAAAAATATTGACCATCATTTAATGACAATGGAACATATAATAATGGAAGCATTTCAAAAGTACCAAAATAAAAATGTAATCAAACCATCAATAAATAATATCAATAGTTGTAATAAAAACTCAAATCCCACTAATGAAGATAAGGGTTCTGATCCCAATGTTGAAATTAAACAAATTGAAAATTCAAATAAATATATAAAGAATAAAACTATTTATATAGAAATTAAAAGTGAATATTATTTTATCTATATCTATATATTATATTATTATCTCTATACTTATTTCCTTAAACTTATAATATTAAATAACAACATTTAATGTTTTTGATTTTGATTTTCTAGACGTAGCTAATAATTTAAAAAAAAACAACTATTTTGCATTGAACAAAATAATTCTAGAAATGTATGGAGAATTCAAACAAGTCAAAAATGTAAACAATTCATATGTGATTCTTTTCAAAAATAAGTAAGTTTACTATTTCATTTGTCTATTAAAAAMAAAATAATTGTTGTTTGTTTTTGTTATTTAATTACTATTTAGGGACCAAGTTAAATGTATACGTAGAGATACAAAAAAATTAAAAAACCAGTATGGCTTTACAATACAAGTTATAAAAAATGATCATACAGGTATAAATTTAAAACCAACTAAAAATAATAATATTAATATTTTAATATGTTTATCTTTCTAGAAAAAGTATTATCATTGGAAACAGTAGATTTATTTAAAGATTGGGGCTTTTTGTGTGCCAAAATTCTCCGTGATTTAGAAATGATGAATTCGACATCATCCAGTACAAAAATACAATCCCAAATTCAACAATTGTGTGACTCAATATGTAGCCTTCAAATTGTAACAGATCCAAAAAAGATTCACATTTTTGGTTCTCGAGTTTATGGACTAGCAACAAACACAACTGATATAGATATATATTTGGAAACCGGTATAACAAAACAACTTACAAATTATTGTCAGATTTTAAAGTATATTTTCAATATTGTGTWTTTGATTTTTTGTATTAATCCAACTTAACCAAAATAAGTGAAAATTAATATTAATACAGGAAAATCATTCTACTTTATATACTTTTTTAGTGGTGCAACTTAAAAACAAAAGATCCAGGTGGAAATGTCTGGACTGTGGCCCTTACTTTCAAATAAAAATTTTCAACAGTCATACCTTATTATAAATCTAAAATGAATTGTTCTCTTTAGTCATAATTAATAGTTATTATATATTATATTTGCAAATGTTCGATTATTATTATTTTTTCTAACMATTGAAATATATTACTACAAAATATTCCAAAATACATAAAATAAGCTAAATACTCACAAATCCATGAAATATTCTCAAAAATTCAAAACAAACTTTTTTTTACAAACTCAAAATTAAACAAATCGTCCACAATTTTTACTTTCATAAGACTAGACTACATATTCTGTCATGTTAAGCAACAATATTTAAAATCATATAAACCCTGTCTTTAGTCATCATGTTTCAAAATCTTATGATAACTTTTTTCATGTCTACAAATGTGAAATTAAGTTGAAATAACACCAGTGGTGTGGCGACAAGATTTTTATGTAGGGGCGAATGGCGAATACATTTTTTTGGTACCCACATAGGCGGTCCTACGGGTGCTGCCACTGCAGCCTGTGCTGCACCTGACATTTCAACCGCCYTCCACATTTTTTTTTTTTATCAGTTGACATAATAATATTAATTATAATTATTTATAACTGTTTATAAAAATAAATAAGATTTAAAATTCCAAGTAGAAAAATGGAATAACATTTTTATTTGTGTGTGTGTATGTATATGTTTAAATGTGTGGTAATGATATTGGGATTTTGGGATATAAGTACATACCTATGTGTATTGTGTATACTATAATTTAATGTGCTGCACCGGATGTAAATTCCTGGGACCGCCTATGGGTACCCAACCAACCCCCCCTTTATAATTTGACTACCCTCTTCTGTTCAAAAAAGTAAATATTAATTTCTTATTATTAACCAATTATAAATAAAAATTGTAAGCAAGAATTGTAAAATATTATATTGCAGTGTAATTACAAAAGTCATAAGAGGGTAAATTATAATATTATTTACCATCAGACTTAAATAAACTTATATTTTAGGACTTTAGGCAGGTAGCAATTTTAGGAATTTTAATGACTTTCAATATCCATTTGAATGATAATGCATATATTACGTGCTGTAGAAAGATATGGCATGGCATGTCCATCAATGTGTTAAAATACTAGGTAGTTCATAATTATATATATATGGTGTTCTTATTGTTCTTAGTGTTCATACCTATTCCATATTACAATATCGCCACTGGGTGACCTACCCACCCACCCTTGAATTTTACTATGGGTGGTTGCGCCAAAAAATATCCTTCGCCACTACTGAATAATAAATACTATCTGTTATTAGTAAACGTTTTTTAAGTTTCTTCTATAATATTCAGTCAGTTAACCCTTCTTTAGCAACTTAGTCAAATCTTAGGACCCCTGTGCTGTGTGTTGCACACCCAACTCTCATAAACTATGTCAATTTCTAATATACAAATTTAATATATCTCATCATTGAGTAGAGATTATATATGTGCCTATAATTAAAATTCAATAACACATTATTACATTTAAAAATTGATTTCTGAGTAGATATTGTGCCTTTGTTTCTGAGAATATGTTTTWAATTATAATGCATTTGTATTATATACCCAATACCAATTACATATATATTAAGAGTTAACATTTACTATTTACTAAAAACATTGCATATATTATATAATATAATATATATAATAAAGGTTTATAGTCCYCATCATTAATATATATTTAATTTCAACAAATTGTACATATTATGAATTTTTTACTGCAGAACAAATTGATTGAATATTAGAAACTAGAACTATTTAATTTTGTTTTTAATGTTGTTTATTTTTAAATTTATGGTAGTCTGAGAATTGCTTATAAATTGCTGTTGAGTAATATTGGCAATGACAATGGATCCTAATTTACAGATGGCTCGTTTGATGGAGAAATAGCAAATGATGAAGACGTTCAAATAGAATTGGTACAAATATTTGCTAAACGCTGTCTATTGAAGCCCAAAGACTTTCAAAATGTTGAATCAATCTGCCATTGCCGTGTACCTATTGTTACATTTTATCATGTACCATCAAAGCTCATATGTGATGTATCCTTTAAAAGTGGTCTTAGCATATATAACACTAAACTAATCAAGTATGTGACACCGTTATATATGGTATACCATAAATATGGTTACAATTGTTTTTATTTGACATTATTACAGATTTTATTTATCGATGGACACTACTGTGAAGTGGCTAGTTTGTGTCATTGTGAAGAATTGGGCTCTCCAAAATGGTTTAAAGGACAAACATTTGTTCAACAGCTATTCCTTGATATGGTTGGTACTGTTTTACTTGATGAACAAAAAAGTGATTCCATCATTACCCGAACTCAGACAAAATGCTACAAAAGATGATCATAAAGTCATTGAAGGTACTTACTATAATAATATATCCTATTCTATTGAAAATATACTAAAATAGGTATATATATTTGGTTTTTAACTAGGATGGGACTGTACGTTTGGAAAATGCTTGTGCAATATCAGTGTTGATAAACGGCCTAAACTGTTAATGGGTTTTTTTCAATACTATGCCAAAAAAAGAACATTTAAGGACAATGTACTATCTACTTGCACTGGTAAATTAATAAAAAAGCATGTATTTTTTGAAAGGTTCAGTCAATTGTCTGAACTAAGTAAAATACAGAGAAGACAGTTTAAAAACTTTCAATCCAAAATTGTTTCAAATTTTGAAAAAAATTACGGACTAGTTCTGCAGGATCCATTTAATCTGTCGTTCAACCTAACGAGAAATTTAGATAGAAAAGATTTTACAGACTTTTGTAATCTGTGTCATCAAAGTTCAATTCTTTTAATGAATATGAAAGGTTGCACTGTTTTCTAATACTTGTAATTGATAACAATAAACTTAAACAAATTTTCTCAAAAATACATTTTTATTTATCTTACGAAATTGCATTTGGTAATTAATTAATAAATATATCTATATTTAGACAAAAATAGATTTCTGTCTGTCTGTCTCTCCTTTATGCCTTCTTAAATGGCTGGACTAATAGGCCCGAATAATAYAATTATTATCAATAAATATTGTTCAATTGAAAACTTGAATTGTCAGACTTTTCTGGATTAAATGAATAAAATTACATTATGATAAATTGAATATTGTCGTAATATTATTACTCAATACATTTTAACTGTTACATTTACATATCAATATGTATATAAACATACTGYTAGCATAACAACAGGGAATGWATTTCACACACAGTTTRACTAGTTTGAGACATATGAGAGGCAGTGCCGTAGAAACCGCCGGTGCTGGCGGTGCAATGCACCGGGGMACTTGATCTTGAAAGGGCCCTACGCCCTTWCTGATTATCTGATATAATGTGACCTAGAATATACAACAAAGAAAAAAGAAAATTATGTTATAAAACTATGGGGCACCTACACCAATTTGCACTGGGGCACACAAGTATCTAGCTACGGCACTGATGAGAGGCACAGAATAGATCAAATAAAAGGTAGGTATTATAATATATAAAATAAATTTTTTAGTATGGAATTTCAAAAACAATTATGTAAATTGATTATTTATTATATTACTGTGCAAGTCAGTTTTAACTTGCTATGTACATGCATTTAAAATATATCAAATATCCAGTTTTTATTTTTAAGAAAAATAAAAAATAATAGTATTTGTTTGATATGTTATATTTAATTTTAACAACAATAGAAATCTTGATCTCAAGCGTGGTTTTAGATACTTATACAAAACATGTTTAGTTTTATTTCAAACTAAAAAATATTGTCAAATATTTAGCTTTTTGTTAAATTATATTTCATTATCCTACTATAACTAGCTATAAGTTAGCCAATTTAAAATGGAGTAAATGTAGGTACTTGTCTTTAACTTGAAAATTAAAACAAACTGATAAATATAAATTATTTTAGTAATTAAGTTTTAAGGTATTAAGCAGTAAAAAGAAAGAATTATATTAATTGAAGCTGTCAATATCAAAATAAATATAATTTATATTGAATAATGACTAAATATTTATATGCAGTCAAAGTGAAAGGCATAACATTTGTTTTACTCAAAGCTTACTGGTATGACAAATGAAACAATCATATACTTTTTACTTGGTAACCTGTTTCATAACATAATTTGAGAATCAGTTGAATTTCATTATTCTGGGTTTGAGCTGGTTTTCTGCAAGTCTAAGCGATTTTCCAGACCTTGCACACCATATTGGTTTGTAGTAATTTTACTCTTTGCTGGCTACTGTAGTCTGAATGCTTTAATAAAGTTTTCATATTACTTGCAAATATTTATAATTAAAGACCAGATTTATATGTATTTTAAATTGTAAAATATGCATACAAACATACTCTAAAAAAAGCAAAACATGTTTTATGTTTAGCAAAATGTATAATGTAGCACAGATTTGCTGTTTGAAATTGTTATTTAATATTTACTCGTTAATACACGCAAGCCAAGTAAACTACACTTTAGTAAGTACTTAAAATTTAATTGTTTGAAAATTTGATACACAAACATACCTTTAATCTTTTCCTTTTTATTGCTCAACGCCTTGATMGTTGGGTGGTTATATATTTAATATTTAAATTCACCATATTTTAAGAACAAAAAATATACAATTTGAATTTCACATGTCCAAAAGGACCATAGCAGGAATTTTTTAGAGAKTTTCATGTGCTAARAAGTTAGAAGTGGCTGAAAGCGGAAGCAGTTGATTATTAAGATAGAATGTTGGTTCATATTTCGTTCAATACTACACTCTAGGATGTTGAGATGGTTTTATAAGTGAAAAGAGGCTAAGACAAGATGTGGGTTAGTTTTTTAAATGGCTTTGACATCAGCAGTCACCAACTTGTGGATGGTGTGAACCATGTGATTTCGACTGACCGGAGATATAAAGATTGAAGAATAGGGGAGAGATTACTGCACATTTGGATACACTAGTTAGGATTTGAGGATCAGATAATAGTGACTAGGAAGAAGAAGTTCAAATCATTCATTATTAAATTTATTATTATTAAGGCCCAGAATTTCATGCATTTGCATGTTTYTACTGAGTAGTGAATGTATCAAAACGTTACTGGATCAACTTCAAATTTGAATCACAATCTAACGATTTCAAAAATGAAATATTGTAGTTTGCATATTTTGAGACTTTCTTCTATGCCTATTTTAAAATAAAATTGCACTTTACTGCATAATTATGTTGCTTTAAAAAGAAAATAGTATTTCATTAAAGTGTTTGAATGAGTATTTATTATTTCAAAATATATTTGTTGAAAAATGTCTATGAAAATCTAATAATAAAAACACCACCAATAAAAATTTTTTTTAATTATACTATTTATTTGTTTATAATACTTTGTTTTAAATTTAATTTAATCCTTATTCATTGTATTCTATTTTCCCACATTTAAAGTTAACTAGTATCACCGTGTCTGATGTTATGTTACGCGAACGTTCTAAGCTCTGAGTCTGAGCAAAGGTTTAGTTGTAGCTCTTAACTTGTATTTCTAAAGTATAAATACAACATATTTCATACTAAAATTAAATTTTACATCTTTTTATTATTTAACCTAAAGTTAAAAAAAAATTAAATTCATATTTTGATAATTCTACATCTACTTCCATACCCTCCCTATAATCTATACCAGTGATTCTCAGCGGGGGTTATATCGTCCCCCCCAGTGGGCGGTGAAGTGCACTGGGAGGGGGGGCATTGAACTAGTTTTGGGCAATAGGGTGGCGGTGAACTAGTTTTGAGTGGTAGAGGGGCTGCAAACATGTTCACGCAAAAACRTACATGGTGCTACCTAAAAATAATTCATACTTGATAATCCACATAACTATCAGTTACTAATAGATACTATGTGTTGAGCAATGCACAACAACTTATCTTTCATTGTTGGCAAATTTATTATCTTACGAATTACGACTTATGTTAACGAGTATCTAACGTCATTAGTAACCTAATGTCGAAAAACTTACTAAAAACCACCAAGTTCAATCATCTCATTGAAATCGTGTCTACAAAAACAATAAAAGCAATATAAAATAAAATTGATAAATTATTGTTTTTTTCAAATTTTC